GGGGGGGGGGGGGGACTGATCGTCTGCCTGAGGAAGAAGGTGATGGTTTATTTTATTAAGGTATAGCGCATGAATTACGTGCGTTATACATCACCTATTTTGAATTAAGGTATATCGTATGTATTACGTTAAAGAGGTAACTAGCCGCACGCATGTTTTACATGCGCCATATATAAAATGGTACCTAATTTTTTTATACACCTATTTTGGTCCCTTGAGTCCAAATAATCGTCACTTAGGTTCCGGACTCCACAAGTAATAACCAGATTCAGATTAAATTAGTGCTATTTTTTGTTATGTTTTGAAAATTGAACAATATTGTTAGTTTACTGTGAATATTAATTTTATTTCATAATATATCTCTATAAATATCCACACAAAAACATAAGATGTAAAATATTCGTCACCTAAACTTGTTGTGCAACAAAATCACTGTGATATCTTAAGCAGTGTTTTAGTTACAAGGATAAGCATAACAATTTCAACAAAATATGAAATTTTTTATCTGCGTTTGGTGAACTTTAAATTCTGATAGGAGTAATTTTTAAGATTTGTGATATTATTTTTAAACTACATTCAATGGAAGATAATTATCCTGGAGTTAGTAATCCCGAAATAAAAATAATAAAATGACATGCTTATCCTTCTCTAAAACTCTTCTTGCATATTATGTTAAGAAAGTTAAGATTAAAATTAAAAATAAAATTTATTCAAGTTTATCTAATATTAAATTAAATATATGTATATATATATATATATATATATATATATAGTATTACATTAGATCTTGTATACCTCAATATATTAATTAAATAATCTTATTGTTATTAAATTCTTCTATTATAAGTACTTGATAGCTTGTCAGACAAACCATCCTAATGGTCTCAAGTACAACTGTCCCATGAATATTCTACGCTCACGAAATCCAGGAAACGTGTCAAGTTCTTATATAGCGTACTAAAACACTATTGGAGAGATGTTCCATTTCCTTAAAAACAAAAGACAAGACATTCTTCTTTCTCCTTCTGTATAAGTTATAGTCTTATCATATTTTTCTCCGGTTTTCCTCTATATTTCTCTATAGATGACTGACTCATTGGCTTCTGACCCATTTCCAATTTAGCTCATTTAAGATAGGGGGCTAGAAGAAATGGAGGAAAGTGTGTTGTCCCAGTGGACTGTGATTCGATCCATTTTTGCTATTGTTCAATGGTGGGGCTTTAATGTAGCTGTTATTATCATGAACAAATGGATCTTTCAGGTCTGTTTTTTCTTTCTTTCTTTCTTTCTTTCTTATATATGCCATTGTGGTAGTGTATCTGAAATATTCTTGAAACTTTGATTTATTGTAGAATTGGTTTTATCTGCGATCTCATCAGCCTTAAATTATGCTACATTACATAGTTTTAAAATAGTTGAGAAATGTGTGTCTGCGTCTGTATATATTCATTGATGATCACATTATTGTCTTGTTGTTTTTATTCTGCTTTTATATGTTTTTTTGGTACTGTCCCTTCTTGTCTATATTTTCATTAATGTGGTGCTTATACTTTTCTGAGTGGAGGGTCTATTGGAAACAACCTCTCTATCCTGTAGGAGTGAGGTCTTGTATACACTACCCTCCCTAGACCCCGCTGTGTGGGATAATACCGGGTATGTTGTTGTTGTTGTATATTGGCTGATTTCTTGCATATCGATGAACTGTAGGGTATGTTAAAAATTCCGTCGGGCATATTTTTTCTTCATCTCATTCTTCCTTTAATTAGTAAAAGTTGCAAAGTCATTGATAATCAGTTAGATTTTGAAGTCAACTTTGTTTGGGACTGAGGCGTAGTCGTTGTTGTTGTTAGTGATTTGAGTTTAGTCATTCCCTTCCCTGAAGTTCGAATCCTTCCAGTAACATGTTGTAGTATTAAAACATCTGCCGGTTAATGGATTCTATGTGAGGCATGGACAATGTGCCAATCTCCCTAATGTCCACAAATGTGAGTATAACCTCTGAACAATGATAATTCAGTTGTTCACATATAAACCCGGGAACTGAGAGACAAGTGAGCTTCAAACTAAGAGAATGTAGATTAACATAATTAAAAAGCAGTTTTGGAGTATTAAAATGCTCCAACTTAATACTTCTGGAAGAGAATTAAAAAACAAATGCAAAATTTCAAATTTAACTTAGTAGGATTTGCAGATAATAACCCAATATTTGGATAATTCTAACGCATTCAGGTAATAACCAAGAGTTTGTACACAAGGAACCCGAGAATGTTGCAAATCGCCTTTTCAGATAAATAAACTTTGGGTTGAGAAGGTCAGTGTGAAAGTAATATCCAAATGGTTTAGATGTTCCTAATTGAGTCGACTTTCCCAAGTTTACACTACTAGGAAAAGCTAGGAGAAAAACTATGTCTTGCTTGCTTCTGTGTACTACAACTGAAAGGAAAATATCTAGTCCATAATTAATCTCTACTTGGCATTTCCATATGATATGTGTAAACTTCAGAAATTTACACTTTTTACTCATAGAATTGCCCTTGTTATTCCTGAGACTATCGAATAAACCTCAGCTGATGTTAACAGTTTAAAGGAGCAGTCGTGAATTGTAATGAGAAACAATAACAGATGATAAACAGTGTAATGTTGTCTACACATCTAGCAACTATCTTGCTGAGTCATATCCAATTTCTCATATCCTTTACTTATATTTGCCCAAAAGGCAGGTTTAGAGTCTTTCTTGGATCAGCCATTTTAGTATATTGTAGTTTCACCTGAACAGGTCTCTTGACATCCTGTGCGTCTTTTTTATTTTCTGGGTAATGTATGGCTTCACAAACTTGTCTCTCTTGGATGGAGGTGGCAAACTGGGAAAACTTTAGACAAGTACGGTTACCTAGTTACAGTGGTGGACGCACATGGTGGCAAGCGGGTTCAACTGAACCCGCTTCATCAAAAAATAATACTGTGTATAATATCAAGAGCTTGCAACTTCTCCTGTGCTTGGAATGATCTGTTCCCCAGATATCACGCTACATTATGGATGTAAACTTGGTTCAGTCAGGAGTCATCTTGAGTAACTCGGGGTCATCTACGTCAAAGATTGTAAAATTGACTTGATGATTCATGAATTGAGATTGAGTAGCTTCTGATTTTAGCACATCAAGTTCTCCACATACGAAAAAAGTAGTATTATGATTCCCTTCCCAAGTTTACACATCTAATCAAAAATTTTAGTGTAAAGGGATCTCTAATATTTCTGCAAGCACCTTTCTCATGATGTAGAACAAGCTGGAACATCAATGATAGCCTCTAATATGGATGCCGTCATTCTTTTGATAGCCAAGAAATCCCAAAGGCCGGTGGGGCATGGTTCAAAACTATATGGCTGCTGTTATTCTCTTTCTTCTTTTATTTAGATGAATGGTTAGATCCAGAAGCTTTTTGCCTATTGCTGGTGCATGTGTACAAACTGCATTTCTCATGTGTGTATGTGTTAGATATGATGGTTTTTCTTAAATGTGATAATAGATGGATTCTTTGGGGTTTGGTGATCAAGTGTTTTTCATTTCCATTGTTCTTTGAAGATCTTGCGAGTTTATGTTTTGATTATTGCTCTATCGTTGTTATGATATGGAAGCAGAAAAAGAGAAGATATAGGAAAAGAAACATTGCCTAGTGTTCCTTGCTAAGGCTCAAATTGAGCCTCACAAGTCACAAATATCAAGAGACACACGTTCCTTTATATAGACTAACCATCCAAAGGCCTCTGCCAGGTGCTATTCTCACTTTCATTACTGTCCATGTCTAAAGCCTTAAGCCAATACTCTCTCTCTCTCTCTCTCTAATCTAAATCACAGTGCCTCGTAAATGATAGCAGACCTTATTTTGCACACCACTGTCACTCTCCCACTATTACCAGTGCCCAAACCCCAAACCCAGTTCTAAGGTTGATAGCATTAGTTGGTACACACCAATCAGAATTCTGGTTGTTACGCTTAAAATGAGTAATACTTGAGTTTATTGTCTGCAAATGAGGACGTGCCTTCTTGGTTGAATTTTTCAGCATTTTAGGTTGATATATTTTAGTATGTGTGATTTCTACTTTTCTCTTCTCTTTTTTTTTCCCGGGGAAACTAAGAACTACTTTATATGGGGCAAAGAAACTTAACGTCCGTTTTGAATAATAACTGCAAGGTTGATATTCTGGAAAGAGGTTATGAGCATGTTGTACACATGTAATGTTTTCTTGCAATATCTCTTCTTATAATTGTACACTCTACCCGTCTTTGCAGAAACTGGATTTTAAATTTCCATTGACAGTATCTTGCGTACACTTCATATCCTCAGCTATTGGTGCATACCTGGCAATCAAAGTGCTCAAACTTAAGCCACTCATCGTGGTTGAACCCGCAGATCGGTGGAGAAGAATTTTTCCCATGTCATTTGTGTTCTGTGTCAACATAGTCTTGGGGAATGTAAGTCTACGATACATTCCTGTCTCTTTCATGCAGACCATAAAGTCATTTACTCCTGCAACAACAGGTAAAGCTTGAACCTCAAAGCCCTTCCCGAGGCCTCTTCTTATCCACTCCTTAACCTATTTTGCTTCGGATAACTGTGTTTGAGCAGTGATTCTGCAGTGGCTAGTTTGGAGAAAGAACTTTGACTGGAGGATCTGGACGTCTTTGATTCCCATTGTTGGAGGAATTCTGCTTACTTCTGTTACTGAGCTAAGTTTCAACATGTTTGGGTTCTGTGCTGCGTTATTTGGCTGTCTTGCTACTTCTACAAAAACTATTCTAGCGGAGTCTTTGCTGCATGGCTACAAATTTGACAGGTACTATGTACCTACCTCTTTCTCCCCCTCCTATTAGATAATATATGTATTCCTCTACCATGTCAATTAAAAGGAATTGCTTGAGATGTAACAGAATTTTTACCACTGTTCTTGTACCCAGTCAAATGTTACTAATAAAACAAGTGATAATTGGAATAGTTTTTGTCAAACAATCTTGTCCGGAAATGATTTATCCCCTGCTAAATTGATTGGCCCAGAAACTTACCGTTGTCATTAGGTGTAACACATCCAATCAAGGTCTAACATAAGGGAAAATAATATCTAACATAAAGTTCTGCATAACTAATACAACTCTTAGTTTGCAACATAGTACTCTGCATAACCAATGGATTCTCCGTATATGTACTACGATGTTTGGTTTCCTGTATAACTGGGTTAACTGCTCTAGTCTTTTTTTTCTCCCAGTTTTAGCTCTGCGTTACTAATACCTATGTGGTATGTATTACCACTATGTAGATAAATGCATTTGAAGGCGAAAAGGTCCTTAAATTAGGCAATTCCTACTTAACACATGTATTATTATTCACTTGATAACAATATTTTCTTTGTTATTCACTGCATAAAAATTTATACATTAATGTTCACTGCATAAACAATCCCTACATATTATGATCCTCGCATAACTAGACCGTAAACCAAATGGCTCTGTCGCTCTTTTTTGTTCTTTTCTACACAACAAATCTTGGATGCTATTCTTGTTGAATTTGACAAAATGTTTGTCCCACATCGGTGGGAAAACAAAAGTTGAGGGGATTTTCCCCCTATAAAAGAAGGCTTAATGTTTAGGATTTAAACACACCTCTCATTTGCCTTCTCATCTGTTTAAGGCATTTGTATCTTCTCTCTTTAGTATTATTTCACTTGTATTTTTGGAGTGGAATAAAATATTGGTTGTGTCCGAGGAGTAGGCAAAATTAGCCGAACCTCGTAAATTCTGGTGTTNTTTTGGATTATGTACACTCTGATGTTTGGGGTCCTTCCAAAACACCTTCATTGGGTGGGAAGCACTATTTTGTAACCTTTGTTGATGATTTTTCCCGAAGAGTATGGGTGTATACAATGAAGAGCAAAGATGAAGTGTTGAGAATTTTTCTCAAATGGAAGACGATGGTGGAGAATCAGACAGGCAGGAGGATCAAGTGTTTTGTTGTTTTGTTGTTTTGTTTATTATTTGGTGGCTGTCATAAATTTTGGTATAGTAGTTGTGACTTATTCACACTCTATACATTTGGCTTCCGCAACAAGATGTGTATCTGAGTTTCAGTCTGGTCAAGCCTCAGCTTCTTTAATCACCTGGTTTAAGGTCTCATTTTCACCCATAGTACCTTTTCCGCTTTATTTTCCAATTTCTTAACATGTGCGGGATGATAACAAAATTGTGTGTGTGTGTGTGTGTGTTTTGATTGAGAAAGTTGTGTTTAATTTTGAATCCATTTCTGTGGAGGCAAGGGTTAGGGTTTGCGAATGTTTTTATAGGTTATGGTTTTATAAAATTTGTGAAATTATGCTTCTTCAGGTGGGGAGGTCAGTATGCTAATGCAATAATTTTTAATGCAAATTTCTACATCACCAGGATGAACTCATCATCAAATTCACTACTTAATGTTTGTAGTGGCTGCTTTGTTTACATTATAAGATTCAGAACTTAGTCCTTGCAATGCTAGTAAATATGGAATTAGGTTGTCTCTATTTGTGCTTGTTTCTCTTTCTTACTGTCAAAATCTTCACCATCTTTGGTTGATACCTTTACCATTACCATTAGCAATACCAATGAAAAGACCAATATTGTTTTTTTACATAAGATAGCTTTCATAGCGCAATAAAGTTGGATCCTCGAGCATTTCCTCTAGCTGTTCCTTATGGATTATAATAAGCAGCGGAAACAATCCCAGTATCAAAATCACATGTAATCTAGACAACTAGCATAAACGGGATTTCACGGGTTACCTCTTGAAGTGTGAACAAAGTTCCTCTATCACGTGAGCCTCCAATTCCACAGCAACTCAATGAAATCTCCACCACCTGCACGATCACGATCTCCAAACGTTCCACGGTCTTCTACTGTGTTACCCAAATAATATCCGAAAATAGTAATTTCGTGTGGGCAAAATTTTCTAGGAAAAAGGCTGAAAAGTTCGTCCACTTCTCTCCCTTCTCTAGATGGAAAACCTTATGTATTTATAGCACAAGTTTTAAGGGTTAAAACACTTTTCCAAAACTTGTTAGGTTTTCCTTTCCACCAAAAAAAAGAATTCCTTTATTTCTTATTAAAACAAAATTTAATTAACAAGGCTTCCAATTATGGAATTAATTTATAATTTTCGAAATTAATATCCACCATAATTAATTACGAATTATTCCACTAAAAAATCATAATTGCACTCCTTATCCAATTTCGAAATTCATCCCTTAAATCTTATTTAACTCCCCATATTAAGATTCAGATACTAATCATAAATTAAATTCCTGACGATTTAATTTATTGATTATTTCCTTTAGACTTTCGGTTAACTTATTTCATGTGTCGGATACAAAATCCACCGTCCGGGTTTACACATGAAAACTTATAAGCTTTAATAAAGGTGTATCATCAATCTCTAAACCGAGACATGGATTCTATCAACTAACTATTACTTCGCCAATGTACATTATTATTGTCCAATTTACCAGGTATATTGACCCACGAAAAATCTCGTCTTTTAATAAGTCAAAACAATAATAATATACACAACTAATAATAATTGTATCAAGATTTTATTAAGTCAGTATAAAATACTTATCTCTACTTGGTCGTTCAATACATACAAAATGTACTAGCACAAGAAGTTGGAATTAAAATTCCCATAATCAAGATAAATTATATTTAATCTTGTGCTGCAATCATTCCTAATGGTTTGTCCAATTTCATATTAGATTGTGAACTCAAACTTTATACTTATAAGAACTGATGATTTAATCTTCCGTGTATAAGCTAAACTCTATACACTAAATCATCAGCTATATAAGCAAAGGACACAAACTAATATATGATCTATTTAAAACTTTATTAAAACTGACTAAATAATTATTTCATAATAAATACTATTTCTAAACCAAACCCATGGTTAATAGTATATATCCCAACAGTTCCCGCATTCATTCAATTACCTGCCTTGGATATGGCTTCCAGAGGTCTCAAAAAAAATTCACAAGTTCTCAATTCTTTACAACCTAGCTCAAGGATTTTCTAAGTCTCCTTCAGGTTTCGAATTTCTGGATCACTGCTTGAGCTGAAGATCATTTCATTCGAAGGGGTAAAAGCAGAGGGAACAGCTTTCCGGATGTGGATGGTCATATTCTGTTGTATTTCTTCTACTATGTGATCTCTATTCAGGGTTTCTACTTCCTCTTCTTATTTTTTTGGTTACTGATATGGGTTTTTTTTGGGGGGTGGGGGGAACTTTTATACTGAGAATCGAAGACAATGGAAGCATCCACACACTACTGACATAACAAGTTTGGCTATAGTCCGTAAATCTCAGATTTTGGCCCTGTTAGGTGACAACTAATGGTAGTTGAGTTAATACTCCATTGAACAGATCCTCTAAAAACTTGTTCTGCTGCTGTTGCAATCTGATTGTCTTCTATCAGGTCTCTGAATCTTTAAAATGCCTAATTATTCCTCTTTACCTTTATAAATCTGTGAAACAACTTGGTGTTCCCCTCTCCTTTATCTAACCAATTTATGTTGTCCTTTTGTCTGGGATATAAATTTCTCGCATTTTCCTATTCCCGAAAGTTCAGCTTATGAAGAGAAGAAGTTTCTCTTCTAAGGAAATGGAATAGTACTATTTTCTGACAGCATATATGATAATATGGTTTTTCTCCATATAAGGCTGGTTATGACTCTAATCATTGACACTTTGTTGATGTTGCTAAGACTATTTTGTGTAGTTTATGTAGAGCGAATACAAGCCTGGTTATGACTCTAATCCTTTTTTTGCAATGCCCACTTGGAAGCTTTCTTTTGATTCTAGGGTGTCGTTCTGTTTTTATTTGTATTCTATTTTTAAGTTTCTTTCCACAATGAAATGGAGAAAAATTGAATCACAACAAAGTGGAGATGACATTGAATCTGTAGATGCATTTGCATCTGTCATGGGACCTGAACATCCAGGATGCCTGAGATTGTTGGATGGGGGTTATGAAAAAACTGTTTTGAGCGGAATACAATTTGAACCCTCTTTTAGTGTTCTAATGATCTCATGCAAAAACTAGAAGAGCGGATGCATCAAAAGCTAGAGGAAGAAAAAGCAACTATGCGACAAGAGATAGTGAGTTGACAACGTCAGCATTTGAGTCCAGGAGTACAAATTGACCCTGCACTCTGATTTCAAGGTGCCAACCCCTTTTTGCAATCTACACCCATTTTATTATTCTTGTCGAAAAATAAATCCGACCTCAAGTCGTTGAATCATTTATAATATTTTCATTCATGTCAAATTCACAAAATTTGATCCAAAACTAACATGCATAAAATTGATATAACTAGTTAAGTACCACCAAAACAAAAGGTACTTATGATGTTTTTGCAACTTATAGACTTTTTATTTTGCCGAGACGGCCTTTCAACTTAATCATAGAGTCTATATTGAGTATGACATTGTTTGCATCTTTTCCTGTTGTCTGTTTTTGCTTTTTTCTATTGCTACTGTGAATTCATATAGAAGATTTTCTTTTCCTTTTTTCATATTCAATTTCTTTATCTCTCCATATTAGTTATTCTTATGCTGCAAATCTTGAATCCAATCGACGAGGAAAATTGAGAAACTCATGCATTCATTGTGTTCTCTTTTTTTCCCAGAGTACAAGTGACGACGGGTACAGAGCAGAATAGGAAGAAACTCGGAAAGGAAAGGGGAGCTCCGGCTGGAAATTTAACCTTTTCCTATAAAGCTCTTATGCAACTAGACATTGGGAATGCATCTGGTGTCAGAAACACATATAGTCAGAGAGGCCATAATTTATACGTCTCTTTGTTAAGGGAATATAACAATATTCGTTTGTTTTCTGTTTAGTGGAGATGAGGAGGGAGTGTGCCATTGATGAAGGATGAGAACATGGTCAATGCACGGCCAGGTTGATAGCTTGGAACAAAATGTCCTGCTCCTCTTACGGTCACGAATGTCAAGTTCTGGTATTCTACTGCATAACCACCAACCTTAAAAGAAAAAGTATTATATGAAATAATTAATTCATATGCATACATGAGATTTTTGAAAGAGATTGTAGAGGGAAAGAATAATGACTACTTCGTTACCTCGCCCTGGAAGAACCAAGGATACCATGGTGTTTTGACTGGTGTTTTGATTTTGTCTATAGCATATCTACTTGTCGTCACAGGCAAAATATGGTCTACATCTCCACTGAAATTGTAACAAAAAAAAGGCTCGAGTAAAATGTTATTGTTTCGAAATAGCTAAAATTTCAGAATTGCTTTTGTGGTGACTGCTTCATTGCTTGATTTACTTACCTATAAATCAAAACCCTAATGCCATTTTGCATGAGTTCTTGACAGATTGGTAGCATAGTATGCGGGGAGTCCTGCCAAGAGCCTTGTATGTAACCACTGCACAAGGGAGAATTGAAGCAAGTGAATTTAAACCTAAAGGAAGAAAATCAGCCTTCTTGATTTGAAGAAGGAAAATGTTCTAAAATATCACAGTATGTGTACTTACTTGCAAGAATCCCAGGAATGGGGTATATCTTTGACATTAAGTGCCTTTTGTACTCCAACAGTGTTTAGGTAATTGTCTACGTAATCAGCCGAGCATGGATCAAATCCATCTATCTGTTATAAGCAAAAAGAAATAGTTATGGTATAAATTTAATAAAGGTATGTAAAATCTACTGGGAAGAGTACTGCTTGTCATTGGGGTGCAGAATCTGCTGTTTTGCATGGTCTTTTTCTTCTTCTTTCTTTTCTTTCTCACCATGATTCTCAGCTTAATTTGGGACACTTGAATTTATATTACTACTTATTAAAATTGGTATAAGTACTCGGTGCAAATATTTTCTTTTTGTCAAGAATGAATGAGCAGTTTAGCCAGGGAACTTACAGGAAGGGAAAAATAGGCAGAGGAGTTGCACAATTGAGAATATATGTTATAGGTGTATATATTGCCTTGAGATGAATCTGCTTGGCCTGTGTACTTGTTACAAGCTTCTGTGGTAGAGGTTTCTGCGGAGAAGTTGCAATTCGAGACAATTCCTTCATGGATTTCATCTGATATTAGTGCATGTGTCCAATAGAAGTCATAGGAACCACTGGTCGCTGTTTCATCATCAATGACACCATTTCCAGTCTGAAACAATGTCATGTGCATGTAATTAATATGTAGACGATATAATTTAGTGACTTAATCAGGAGAAAGAGAATTTGGTGATCATTTGAAGCTTAACTTACAGCTACTCCTTGCAAGTTAATGACAAGGTTGGGTTCTGTTTTCATGTGGGATAAGACCAGCTGCGCAAGTTGAGGCACATAGTGCCCAGCATAACTCTCTCCAGTAATGTAGAAATCTCGGTGTTTATATTCTGGGAATCTTTCCATCCAATTGACGAGAAAGGTGAAACTGTCTTGTCTAGTCTTTTCATCTCCAGTTATATAATCCGATGATGTGTTAGAGTAAGAGAAACCAACACCGGCAGGAGATTCTAAAAAGAGGATGTTTGCCACTGCTTTAAAGTCACAAAATTATTGTCATTGTTATTTACGTGTTTCTTATTAATTACTATCAATTGTGATGACAGATTTTGCAGAAGAGAGGTGATTAAGTATTACCGTTATTCCAAGCAAATGGGTTGAGCCACAAGGTTTTTCCATCTTTATTGACACGGAATGGTCCGAGTTCCATCATTGCTCCAGCCCCAAGCGACGAACAACCAGGTCCTAATCATCAAGTACATACAAAACAACAAAGGAAACATGGTAAGTGCATTAATATATTTCTTAAAGCAACACCAGAATGAATGACACAATAAAGGAATATTAAAATCTTCATAGTTTTGCATGAAATTAATGTTAGAAAAACAGTCTTCCTCTTAGCAATTGGGGTAACGGGGGAATGTTGTGAGTGTGTACTTACCTCCATTTAGCCATAAAACAAGGGGCTTCGTAGAAGGATCTTGAGTTGATTCGGTGAAGTAATAGAACAAGGCTCTACCAGCATCAGCATCAACAGTCACATATCCTGAATACTGATCGAAATTAACCCCACTTGGTTGCCCTGGCAATGCTGAGATCTTGTCCTCTTCCTTTGATCCTACCCGCGGCACTAAGAATCCTGACACTGATCTCTGTTTCTCATCAGCCGCTAGGCTATTGGTAATTCTTGTTGTGTGCAAGTGATTTGCTCGTCGAGCCTTAAGAAATTTGCTTAGAACATCAGCTTCTCCTGCATTACATTGTTGGGCACTTAAGTAGCACAAAATAATTAGAGAGAGACTTAAAACAGAATGAACTTTTAATTTTCTTCCTTCCCGTGCAAGAAACAAGAAATGGTGACTGATAACTCAACGGTAAATGTTCGTCATTATGTATAAAGAGTGTGTAAAACGTTGAGAATGTCGTCATATCTTTATTTTTTTGGTACTTGGTATGAGATTGACGCTGTTGTAGTGACATGTTTGTACTTTGTGCTCATTGGTTAAAACGTCGTACGACACTTAACAGCTCTGAATTATTTCTTAGGTTGTTTCAAAGGGGATAAAACGAAGGATATATATTAAGGAGTTTGTCGGCTTCCATATTTTTACGTCGTTGTTCGATCAGACAGGACGGCTGATAGAGAAATGAGATAAAGTTAATATTTATTTGATAAAATAGATTTTTGAGTCTTTCTCAGAAGAAGATGATTCAGTGATGATGAATTAGGTTATTTGGCGAGAAGATTCTGAGGACAGAGAAATTAGGAAAAGAAAAAAGGTGTCCAAAGATTTAAATGGTTCCTCCTTGAATAAAAAGAAATATCAAATTGGTCCCAGAAGAAAAAACGATTCAAAAAATGCAATATATAGTATTTGTATTAGATCCTTAGATATTCTTTTATGTATTTAAGTAGCTCGGATCTAGTATTTCAAAATAATAGGGAATTTATGTTTACTCTTTTCTCTCAAGCTTGATCCATGGGGGGTTGATCTAGTCCTATGCTCTTCGTATTTTACTTTTCTCTTTAATAAAATCAGTTATTAGCGGTGGCAGACCCAAGTGGTGGCTAGCGGGTTCAACTGAACCCGCTTCACAAAAAAATAATACTGTGTATATGTATAAATTAGGATTAAAGTTGTGTAAATTTTGTATAAATATTTATTTGAACCCACTTGACAACTACTATTTTACGACTAAAGTTATATACTTCTAAGTTGAACCTGCTTGCACAAAATCCTGGGTCCGTCACTGGTTATTAGTGGTGGTTGTATAAAATAAAATGAAAATTTATCAAAGAGTACTACTTTGTTTGGTTTCATTTATACTAGTTTACACACTTAACAACACACCATTTAACCTTTGTGAGAAACAGTATTACTTCATCTGTTTTAGTCTGATTGACTTTATGCATGTGTCTTTTAAAAGGTTATGACGTTCAAACGTAAGACTTCCCTGTGTCTTATACACTCAATGAACTATAAGAGAAACTAAAAACTTATTATTATACAACATTAATGCGGGACAACATTCGTCTCCACGTACAATTGGAATTCATGTTCGTAAGTCAAAGAGTTGAACAACAAAAGCAATAATATCGGCAGGCTATTGCACCTAAGAAGTAAGGCTAGAATTGCCTCTTCCATTGTTCGGTAAAAGAAGATAGAGAAATATATTTAATAGTACTTAATTAAGAAGAAAATTTATTGTTGTTAAGGCTTTTCAAGTATAATCAAGAGAGGTTATAGATTGCTAGAATTTGTGTTTTATTTCCTCTCAGAGTCATGGAGAAGAGAGACATATTTCTTAATGAGAATAAGAATTTGATTAATAAAATATGTCCAATTATTCGGATGAGTGGGAAATGAACTTCCAACGGGACCAATCCCAAATGCTAAAAATCTTAAAAATGATTGGCAAAAAACATATTCAACAAAGCAAAAGCTCGACGTGGTTGAAATTGTGGAACTTGGTGCCCTGCTCCCCTAACTGTTGCAAAAGCTAATCCATCAAAAACCACCATATATCCAGCTACCTGGAGAAATTATACAACCACCTTTAAATTAAAAGAAACAAAGAACGAAAAAATAAGATTTATTTCTCACCACAAATATATAAAATTATCATTAAAAAAATCTTCGAAGAACATACTTCTTGTGTGTCATCAAGCCAAGGACGCCAAGGTTTCATCACCTTAAGATTCATAGCACTAAGGCTATAGCGAGTTGAAGTAACTGAAACTACTGCATCAACATCTCCACTGTTTCCAAACAATACAAATCAACTTGTTCTTTATTCGAACAAATAATATCATGAGCATAAACCAAAGTCTAAGATAAGCCCTTAATAAATTTACCTGTAAAGAAGTATACGTAGACCAGATGCAATAAGTCTCCTGTATATCGGAAACATAGTTGATGGAGTATCCTTCCAATCCAGATTGCTAAAAAAAAATCATCATATCATATCATATCATATACACTATTTTTTATGAGTTCAGTTACCTTCTACAAATTAAAAGTGACCCTTATACTATCAACTAATATAAAAGATGACTACAAGTAACTATCACGAAGAGTGAGATTTGTAATCTTAAAAACAAGACATGTCACTGTGCCAACAGGTTAGAATACACACTTGATGATGTAAAAGAGTTTTCGTAAAAGATAAGTACAAGTTATTATCCATAAAAAGTAGAATTTAATTTATAATTACAAAAATAAGGTAGATTATTAGTTACAACACGTTTTACACAATAGTGTATATATAAATCAATACAGATACAATGATAGTGTAATTTTTTTTTTATATTATCGATATATATCCATCCGTTTCAAATTAGATGATGTACTTCTTTTTTAGTTTGTTCCAAAATAAGTGACACATTTTTAAATTTGGAAATAATTGAACTTTAAACTCTTTATTTTACCCTTAATGAGAAATTTTTATAACGACACAAATGTCATGACCCCACAAAGCTTTTAAAAGCACAAGTTTAAAAAATCTTCCTTTTTTTCTAAACTCTGTGCCGAGTCAAACTATGAAAAGGAAATCGATATGCTATACATAATATTTACTTAGTTGGATTACCTGCAAGGGTTCCAAAGGTAAGGAAGGTTGGTTAGGTTAGCATGCAAGGCCTTCTGCACATGAGGAAGATTGAGATAATTCTGAACGTATTGTTGTTCGCAAGGATCATATCCATTCTTCAGTCTCGGTGAAGAAGATCTGCTCTTTGAATTAATGGAACACTGGGGACCATAGATGTTGTAAGGGTCGACGTTTCCGAACTCAGCCTCTGCTATGTTCTGAAAATGTTGGCATGTTTCGGTCTCCGTTTTGCAGTGTTGTACAAGACCTCGATGAGTCTCGTCTGAGATCAGTGCATGGCTCCATAAATAATCCAATGTCCCTTTCTCGTCTGTTTCATCATTCATTATACCATTCCCTATCTGCAATATGTAATTTCTCCATTAATTTTACTTGATTCTCAAAGAAAATAATACTGAGTATATGCTATACAGTAGTTTTACTTGTTATACCTCGTAAGGAACGTTAGATATAACTAAGTAATTAAAAATGTGTTATTTCAATATGCATGGTATTATAGCATATCTTGTGCTCTATTAATCTCGCTTCATAAAATAAAATAAAATAAAAAGTTCCACATGCTTGTTCGATAAATAGAAAGATAAAAGAATTAGGTCCGCACACGAAATAATATGTTAAGAATGTACTTGCAATTTTTGACGATGATGTTACACAACACAACAAAAGCTAGCTAGCCCTTTATAAGATTTTGCTTTACTTGTCTTCTCCTTATTTTTACATGAACAAATAATAGACCATGTGTTATAAGCATGAGCGTATGTAGTATACGCGTGACAGGTTCAACTGAATTTTTGATGCGGATTATAAATTTATGTGCAAAATCTACTGAAATTGCAACAAATAGTATATTTGAACTCATAACTTTGAAAATATAACAAGTTCAATGCTAAAATTTTTAGGGGATGAACTCAGATTAAATCCTAGATGCACATCTGATTATAAGATTGGACATTCATTCTCGGTGGCATAGTAGTTCGAGATGGTGTTTCATTATTCATCATCTCTATAGAATCTTGTGAACCAATCGAGTCTTACTAGGTATACAAGTAAGATTTAATAACAACAAAAGGTCAACAAATTAAATGATAGGAGCATATTACCATGATTCCTTTAAATTGGATGTTGAAGTTTGCGGTGGGCAACATGTTCCTCTTGACAATGATGTCTGCTAACTCTGGTACGTAGAATCCTGTGATGAGCAGTCACAGCAATATTAGCTGTCATGTTGACCATGACTTAGATATATACTACTTATATAAGATTGTATTACAAATATAGCCAAAATTTTTAATCAGAAATTAAAGCTCATTTCGGAATTTCTGTGAATGGTCAAAATATGCACAAGCTGTCTCTGATACAGTGGTCCTTAATTCTTACAAATTCTATTGGACAGAACCCAATAATGAGGGCTCTCACTACTAGAAGGATAATTCAAGAATATCAAAAGTTTTTGTTTTGTATTTTTTCGTTTGTTAATCACTGATACTGTACTAGATACCTGCATAGCTTTCTCCCATGATGTAGAAATCCCTGTCTCTGTAATGTGGAAACCTCTTGAACCAATTCACTAGAAACCTATATGCATCTTCAGCTGTCACCCAATAAAAAAAATATAGTTTAAGGAAAATAAATAAATAAATAATTGAATGTGATCGTTTAATGATAACTAAAAAAATCTCCTCTGATAAGAAAGACACCGCCTCTGCCTCACTTTAAGTGGGCGTTTCGACATAAGAACGTGAAATTCCGAAAATAAGTGAATATTTTATTCAAGTTGAAAATTAGAGTTGTTTTTGGACATGAATATAATTTAAGTTGTTTTTGAATTTTGTGAGTGCTTTCAAATGAAAATTTTGAAAAATAACTTTTTGTCATTTTTCGAATTCCGAAATATTTTCTAAATTTAACTTCAAGTAAATTTTGAAATTTTCATGGCCAAACATTGATTTCGAAAAAAGGTAAAAAAAAATTCGAAGTAAAAAAAATCTTTTTTTATGGCCAAACGGGCGTAAGTGACTCAAAAGATTTTCTCCAGTAGTATGACTACCAAATGCTAATAATGTACTAGCTGCTTTGACAATATTTTACTGAAGTTGAAGAAAAGAGAAATGTAAAGTTGAACTTGAAGAAAATTAGTATATAATTAAGAGTGAAATTCCATCATTTTGACTGTTAAACTAATTTTAGAAAAATAATAATGAAACTGACAATTGTTTCTACTATATTAACGAGATGAAGTAACTGTGTGTACCAGTCCTCTTATCGCCTGACTTTGCATAGTCGGAGGTAGTGTTGGAATAGGAGAAGCCAACCCCTGCCGGCGACTCCAGAAACATCACATTCGCAACTGTATACCCATCATTACATACGTAAATACATAAAAGAAAAAAAAAATACATACATAAACTATAAGTAGTTATATTCAGCAGCACAATGAATTTTTTTAACTACCAGTACAATGTCTCCATTCCGTTTTATGTGGCAAGTTACAGAGTACGAGGATCAAAATTCCTAATTTTGATCGTGTATTTAGATATAGATTCATCAAGTTTTTACACAAAAAAGCATTATAATTAAAAATATTTAAGAAAAACCGTGATAAAGAAGAACCTTTTTGACTTCCCAAAGAGTAATGTTGCCACATAAATAGAAACAGGTAGAGTATACGTTATTAGAAAAAATAATTGTCTTATTGAGAAATTAATTTCATTAATTATAAGTAGGTCAAGATTAGTTTAGCAAATGGAATATAATGTACCTTTGTTCCATGCAAATGTTCTGGAATAAAGGGTTTTACCATCAGGGTTTACACCAAAAGGCCCAAGCTCTAGCATGGCCCCAAATCCTAATGATGAACACCCGGGACCTGCACCCAATTATGCTTT